CCCTAAAACTCCTATCACCACTAGTTGTTTTTAATGTGGTGTTTCTCATTGTCTCCAAGATATAATGCTATCCCAGTGATGGCATCAGACACCAAATATTGTGCCCTATGAAAGATTTACTGTGTGCAGACGTGAGGGATTCTCCATGCAAAAAGGGAAATTATATATATATATTTTAAAATTATGTGGTGGTACTGCATAGACATACAGCCCTAAAGTGGTATGGACCAAGGCAGACAGACACATACAAACAAATAGGCATGTGCAGACGGTAAACACAGTGTACTGAGAGACAGATGATGGTCCTGTTCTAGGTGCTTGTCTTGCAGAAGGGGCTTGCAACACGCCCAGCATCAGTGACGTTCTAGTTACCGTGGAGATGGTAGAATGCTGCGGAGAGCTATGGTCATTATGTGACCTTGGAGACCGCATGGATAACTATGGGGGAATTGTTTAGTGGGGGTAATATTGTAGAGGGAAAGTGGTTGAATTAAATAGGCGGTCAGGCCTACTCTATTCATAGCTGGCTCATTAACCCTTGTGTGTTATTAAATGCATTATTTACCTCTCTGAGGCTCCGTTATGTGTATGCACTAGTTATGGCCCTGAATTTAGACAAGACAGCCATCATAACATACACTGTTACAGTATTATGTAATTCTTTGAAAGGGCACTAGGTCAGTGGAAGAGTGTACCCACTGTCCATCTATCGATATATACACAAACATAGGACAAATCTATACATTCTTCTAACTATGTGGCACTAACATTGACATCAAGTAAAACCAACAACTACCATCACAAATAAACAATAACACAGGGGAGAATACAGAGCCCATTTTTAGGTTAGACAAAATCGACATTGATATGTTGAAGTGTAAATTGTGCCCTATTAATATGGCTAAGAAGTGTACGAAACTGTGGTAGCTAAGGAGAGCTTTGCTTTTGTCAAACCACTTCCAAACAGTGTGACCAAAAATGTTGGACAAAACCAAGAGATTATTTTTACTATATAACCAATACACTAAGCTTTAGTGGTGACAGGGCACAGAGTGCTCCTTTAATGTGGAAACCTATTCACTACAATTAAGGTATTAACACCTTAAGGACAAATGAATATCAATCATGTTATAGTATAAAGACATTTTCATTACTTGTGGTTGTTAAGGGATTAACTCGCTACTAGACACACAGCAGGGGTGGCGATGATGTATGCATGCGCACACAGAGCAGACAAGGGAGTAAACCCCTGTGCACACATACAAATGTAGTGTTTAATGCACACACATACATCATGCAGGTTAGGGAGTTAAAATACACATACAATGCATGTTACAGGGTTGAAACATCCATTATATACATTGAGGTTAAAACACAAACACACACAAAGCAGACTGGAGGTTAAATTTCACACAATGCAGTTTAGGGGTTAAAAAACACATGATGCTAATTAGGGGCTGAAACCCACATACAAAAAGCAATAAAAAATTGTTAACAATTACATAGCAAATTGATAGCTTTTACAACAGTTGTCTGTGGTCCCTTAATGTCCACTAGATGGGGTGGGTATTGGTAAGGAGATAATACAAGATTTTATTTTGTTTATAACCAGTGAAAAATGTCTGCCCAGTTATACGCACAGAAGTGTAAAGATTCTGAACTCACATACTGTTAATCCTATAATAACATGGTATGTTATTCAAACTTTTAAACGTGTGTGTGTGTGTATGTTAGATTCTGTAGCCCCATGTAGCCAGAGCGCAGCTTAGCGGAAAAGGGCCTTGACAGGGGTTAGGAGGCGGGCATAGGAGGGACCAAGCAGGACTGTGGGATTATGGGATGGGGGCTGGCTATTTAATAGGCAGCCATTTTAAAATGTGCACATTAATTTCTACCTAGCTGTGTTTGTCCCACCCTCCCTCCCTGTAATGGGTTGTTTCTGTTTTTATCCCGTTTTGTCACAGCGGCGGGATAGAGAGCTAGGGAAGGTAAAATAGGCTCTCCATGAGGAAAGTGAGGAACATGAAGAATTGTGGTCACTGGTGGATTGTGGGTTTCGAGTCCTGGAGGTGGCTCAGAACCTGGTGGGGTAGGGGTATCTGGGTATACCCCTACCGTGGTTACTTATGGTTGGCACTCAAATCGGTTCATGTTGGAGTAAGGTTAAAGCGTTATTTATATATATTTATGTGTTGCTTATGTTGGGTCATTGCCCTGATATTTTATGAAGGTATAGATGCGAGGGCGGAGGATGGGGGGCAATGACCCATGTTTTATACATATGTTAAATTATTAGTATCGTTTCTATGTTTGTTAATAAAGCTGTGGACAATTTTTCCCATATACCTAGTGTCAGCGTGTTATTGGGGATAGGTATGTGGGGTGGTTGTTGTCCAAGGTTCCGAATGCCCATATGGCGACTATACACCAGTCATGTTTATTCTGTTATTATTGCTGGCCACTATCATCCCAAAAGTTGAAAGGAGCAGATAATCCACTGATCTATCCATCATAAGAAACCTTTCATAGCATCCCATTATAACATCACTTCTAAGATAAACCGTCTACCACTCTCTTATTACATCTAGAAGGCCCCGTGATGTTCTGTTTATCTCTGAATTGCTTGTTACATATATTATGTATAGAGAGAGTAAATGTAAAATAATGTTACTAGGAGAAAAGTAGAGCAAAGTTCTAGAAGTGGAGCAATCAGCAGGAATTTCTTATGGTTTCCATGCTTCGAATTTTGCTCTGGAATTGTGCTATATACATAACCCCATGGAATTCTACCAGCAGGACGTGAGCATGTTTCTTCAATAGTTGGCGACCTTCGGCTGGGCCATCTATAATATAAACAGGACCCTGGGCAAAGCATTTACTTGTGCACCCAGTGCCCTGCGCCTCCCACCCGCCATCACACTTTTCACCCCAATGCAGTGGGGGAACTAAAGTAGAGAGATTCCAAACATACTTACAGAGCCATATACACTGACAGACATACTGACACATATACACATACAGACAGACATATTGACACATTCGCAGATACATACTGACACACACAGACATACTGACACACACACACACTGACATATACTAACAAATACTGAAACACACACAGACACATACACTGACAGACGTATTCACACACAGACACACACATACAGACATACTGACATACACACACACTGACAGACATACTGACACACACACTGACAGACAGACAGCCTCAGTCTGCCACTGGACCCCAAGGAAACCACCCTCCTGAAAAAGGTAAGAACCTGGAGAGTGGCTAAATGTAGCGTGTATGTCAGTATGCCTGTGTGTGTGTGTGTCAATGTCTGTCTGTCTGTGTGTGTCAGTATGTCTGACACACACACAGGCATACTGACACACATGCTACAGTTAGCCACTCTCCAGGTTCTTACCTTTCTCAGGAGTTTGGTTTCCTTGGGGTCCAGTGGCAGACTGAGGCAGTTGGGAGTTATCTTCTGGAACTCCCCTCCTCCCTGCCTTCCTCCTCCCGCGCGGCTCTGATATCCGGTGAGAGGAAGTGACGGGCGGCACTCACTTCCTCCCAAATAGCTGCTGAACAGGAAGGGGCCCGGTCGCACTGTTTAAACGCCACAGTGCCCGACCGGGCCCCTGCTGACACATGCCTTCCGGGTGGCCGCTGGTGCATGGGTCACTTGGGGGGCCTCCTTAGTGTGCAGGCTGGTGTGGCTCTGTGCGGGGCCCATGGGGCAGCTGCTCTGGGGTCCCCCAGGAGCAACTGGGCCCTGGGCAGCTGCCCTATTTGCCCAGCATTAAAGACGGCCCTGACCTTCGGGTAAACCAATATAACAAGAATATCTGACCAGATACTAGTAACCAAGCACATCATGGGGGCTAGCTGTTATTATATAATTATTATTCTATTATTTATATAGCGCCAGTAAATCCCGTAGTGCTGTACAATGTATATGATCATATAATAAAAATCCTGTAGTTTACAATAAATAGAAGAGAAATATAATGTGCTGGCTCAAGTAAAACAGTTTTTTGGTTTGGATTTGGTTTTTTAAAAATAAATATTTTATTGTTTTTCCCCATAGTGAAATAGATTGCTATAATTTCAAACAAGTTCCCCTTAGATTTAATTGATATTGTTTACAGCAAAAAGTAAACCGAAACCGCTATCCCTCTTTAGCTGATCTCTCTCTGCATTTTATCAGTAATCCCCAAAAGTTTTTAGTATTAAAAGGTAATTAATCGTAGTAGCAGCAGCATACTACATACTTGTGTGAAATTTGTACCCCACATCTTATAACTCCCTGATTTATAACACCTAAACTTTTGTTTTAAGTATACTCTTCCAATTCCTTTTATAAAATGATTTGGACTATTATCTGCAACCTGCCACACAACAGTACCATTACATCAAGTAACAAGCTGTTTAGTACTGTGTACTTCTTTAAATCTGAGCTCGCTTGCTTTGTTCCAAATATATTACCAATTAAATAATATGAGTCATGGCTGCAGCCCACTATACAGTTATTTGGACTCCGGTGAATGACAGGTAGGTATGAACCCCATTCCCATCCACTGTATTTAATCTTGAATGCACTAATCTGTGTATTTTAACACTGGAACTTCTATTTTATCCTACACTGTGTGGGATGTTGTTTCAATAATAGATCCACTGCACAGCGATTCCTGAATCCTTTTCTGACTAGAGCAGCCTTGTATGTGCCCAATGACGATATACTCCTTTCTTTCTACTCTAAATATTTTTTTGTCAGCCAGGCCAGTACATTGGTAGTCACTGACACACACACAGCCCACTCTGAGTACACTCCTTTATGCAATGCTTCCAGTATACAAGTGTTTTTGTCTTTCCTATACCACACATAGTCTGATACAATCACTCCACCATCCATACCCCTGTCACCCCTGCATATATGTCAATGAAATCAGGTATGCACAATGCCCCATATAACTGTATCCCAACACATACCAATGCAATAAACAGTGTGAGGCTTCTCTTGGTGGCATGGCTTCTAAAAGTGTGGGCTCCTACCATGGGGTCTTTTCTTACTATAAAGGGTTTAGACAGGTATCAGTAAATAACACCATCAACTAATCAGTGCACAATGTCTGCCTGCATGGTCCATCTCTTATACTTATCTGTACCTCATTACACAATGACACATGTAACCACTGTCTGAGGGCCCAAATGCCAACTCTGTCTGTATCTCCTCAACGCCCACAAACATGCAACCCCTTAAATTTCCATGTGTGCACCCCACCACAGATTAAACAATGAACCCCTTTTCTGCAGAGCCCTTGCACACAGATTTGTGTCACGGATCGATGTACCTGTTTAGTGTGTACGTTCTTTTATGAACCCCTACCTAGAAGCCCCCCCCCCCCAACCTGTGCAACCCCCTCCTTACAGACAGGTTCATAACCATCGTATATGCTCACCTCTCGGTTACAATGTATCAATCTGTCAGCATCCTGGAGGAGGGGGGCTAGAGCCCATGTTGTCAGTCTCCTCTCAGCTTATTCAGAGGGTGCCCGGCTAAATGGTGGGGTCCGGCCGGGTCTCCTCATAGCAAATCAATAGAGCCTGCCAGAGCAGAGGGGTATGATCCGTGCACCCACATTACACTAACTACCTACACACAGCGCAGTCTCACTGCAACAAAGCATTGGGGGGAAACAAGGCTGGACCAAACCAAGACCCTCCTCCTGTATCCATCACACAGGGAAGGGAGGGAGCTCTAAATCAGGCTCACACTGGCTCATTCACTCACAAACCTCATTCTGATTTCTGACTGTGCTCAAGGCCAAATACTGTATACACTTACTCATTCACACAACTATCTGCACTCACAAAGATGGAGAGTAAGTATACTCCAACTCAGGCAAAAACAGATTTTCAATCCCATGTGGCCACACTCACAAAGGCAGGAGAAGAATGCTTACATTTGGACAAAAAATGGGGAGATTTATCATTATTATTAGTGGAATCTAAAGAGCGCCAACTTAATCCGCAGTCCTTTACAATGTTGTAAAGGTGGAAATTTAACAATAAATGAGACAATTATAAATTGTTACTGGAATAATAGGTAGATGTTCTGATTTTCTAAAAAGTGTTATAAACTTAGTATAAAACTGGGGCAGTCACCATGGAAACCAGTGGAATCAGCAGGTAGATTCCATTAAGGGACACCTCCCCTTTTACATTGTTGCACCAGTTTTTATAGAAGAAATATTCCCTAAACTGTTTGACTCACACATCATCCACCACTAAAGGACCACTAAAGTCACCCAACCCAGTCATCTTAATGACGTGGTGGTTCTGTCAATGTAACCCTCCAAGGTAAAACATGTTATGCAGAAATTACAATGTTTACTAAAAGGGTTAAACACACCTCCAGTGGCTATGACACTGATAGCCACTTGGGGCATTTTTTAGTAACCTTAAAACTCAGGGATACAGGGGATAGGGAAGATATATACAGGGGATAATAGTATGTACACACAAGAGATAAAGATGGTAAGGCAAATAGATACTTTTTTTTTCAGTGCAAAGAAATAGTACATGCAGGCTCGAGGTGCCACAAGAGCAATCCTCAAGAATTTTCCTTGCGTCAAATGCGGGGCATTTGATTATGAGGCACAATTTTTTAGTATAAGCAGGCTTAACATTTTAGCTTTGGCTGAAATTATATGGTTATGCTATAAACAAGTTTGGTCAGAGCGTGAGTTAAGTTAGTAACAACTTGAGTAATGCTGGATAGACACAGAGTCACGCATGCTTTAATTACAGTAGTAAGTACCACTGCTATCCACTTGCTGTAGAGTATTGATTGACGGTTTTAGGAGCGGGTCAGAAGGCTTGTAAGTTCATGGCGGCGGTCTATGGTTGTGGCTGGCAGCAGTATATCAGTCCTTGACTTGGGTTGGGACGTTCACCCCACCCCGGTAGTCGGGAACAGGTAGGTGTAGGTCAGAGGGGGTGCTGAGCTTGCGTGCCTCATGATAACCCTCCCGCCTCAGGCCTTGTGAGGGGCCCGCCTTAATTGGCCACAGACTCAGGGGTTCTTGTCGGGGTACAGGTCTTTCCCAGGTAGTGTACGCCAGATGCCCCTGATGTGTTTGCGGCGGGGGCGTTCTGTCGTGGTGGCCTAAGCGTGGGGTGTTTCCCCCTGCTGGCCCGAGTGGGCTCTGTCTGCTGGTGGTCATGGCTCGTGGATTTCGAGGGATTTAATCCCCGGGGCTTCCGGTACTTAGGACGATCGAATTAACCTAGGGAAGAGACAGGATGCACCCTGCCCAGGAGTTTTCATTCTCGTTCTAGGTCACAGAGTGGATCATCTTCCATGCATCGGGTGGTTTCCCCAGTTGGTCGAAGGAGCACGGTGGCATCCGTTTCCGGTTCCAGTGGTACCCAAGGAGCAGCCCAGGGCCCAGTGGCAACTGGCTTGGACGGTGAGTCTACCCTTGCACCCAGTGGCGTACACATGACCCATGGGGCCCCGGTGTGAAAATTGATCCGTGGGCCCCCCCCCCACGTGTGGGCCGGGCCGCAACACATGGCGGTGGGCACCTGGTCGCAGGGGTTACAGGGCTGCGACTCTTGCGACCGCGGTATGTACGCCAGTGCTTGCAGATGCACACACACTTAAAGGACCACTCTAGGCACCCAGACCACTTCAGCTTAATGAAGTGGTCTGGGTGCCAGGTCCAGCTAGGGTTAACCCATTTTTTCATAAACAGCAGTTTCAGAGAAACTGCTATGTTTATGAATGGGTTAAGCCTTCCCCTATTTCCTCTTGCGGCTGTCTCATTGACAGCCGCTCGAGGCGCTTGCGTGCTTCTCACTGTAATTTTCACAGTGAGAGCACGTCAGCGTCCATAGGAAAGCATTATGAATGCTTTCCTATGTGACCGGCTGAATGCGCGTGAAGCTCTTGCCGCGCGTGTGCATACAGCCGACGGGGAGGAGAAGAGGAGGATCGGAGGAGGAGAGTTCTCCGCCCAGCGCTGGAAAAAGGTAAGTTTTACCCCTTTTCCCCTTTCCAGAGCCGGGCGGGAGGGGGTCCATGAGGGTGGGGGCACCCTCAGGGCACTATAGTGCCAGGAAAACGAGTATGTTTTCCTGGCACTATAGTGGTCCTTTAAAGGACCACTACAGACACCCAGATCACATCAGCTCAATGAAGTTGTCTGGGTGTCAGGTCCTTCTAGTTTTAACCCTGCAGCTGAAAACATAGCAGTTTCAGAGAAACTGCTATGTTTCACCGAGGGTTAATCCAGCCTCTAGTGGCTGTCTCACTGACAGCCGCTAGAGGAGCACACTGAATGTCCATAGGAAAGCATTGCGTAATGCTTTCCTATAGGCCATTGAAATCGTGCCGATTAAGCATTCGGAGCTGAGAGGCTGAGGGATCCCCAGCGCCAAGGGAGTCCGGCGCTGGAGAAAGGTAAGTGCTGAAGACACACACACACACACACTTACAGACTAGCTTACAGACACACACATTTACTGACAGAGACACAGTCAGCGACAGACATACATACACACTCACTTACAAAACATACACTCTCATTGACAAACACACACTCACTAACAGACATCAAACAGACTCACTAACACACACACAGTAACACACTCACTGACACTCACTAGCAGACACACACTAACACTCACATTCACTCTAACACTCACACTAACACTCACTAGCAGACACACTAACACTCACACTAACACACTAACACTCACTCTAACACTCACACACACTAACACTCACACACACTAACACTCACACACACTAACACTCACTCTCACACACACTAACACTCACTCTAACACTCACACACACTAACTCACACTAACAGTCACACACACTAACTCACTCTAACACTCACTAACACACACTAACACTCACTAACACTCACTAACACTCACTAACACTCACACACACTAACACTCACTCACACTAACACTCACTCACACTAACACTCACTCTCACACACACTAACACTCACTCTAAACACTCACACTAACACTCACACTAACACTCACTCACACTAACACACACACTAACACTCACACACTAACACTCACTCTCACACTCACTCACACTCACACACACTAACACTCACACACACTAACACTCACACACACTAACACTCACTCTAACACTCACTCTAACACTCACACTAACACTCACTCTAACACTCACACACACTAACACTCACACTAACAGTCACACACACTAACACTCACTCTAACACTCACTCACACTAACACTCACTCTAACACTCACTCTAACACTCACACACTAACACTCACACACTAACACTCACACACACTCAAACACTAACACTAGTTTTTTTTTTTTTTTTAAATGTAATCCCCCCAGCCTCCTTACCTTTTGGAGTGCTGGGGGGATTCCCTGGGGTCCAGTGGGGCTGCTGGGCTCCTGGGCGGGTGGCCGGTTGGGCAGGCAGGCGCGCGCGCGCGAGGGAGAACTCTTCTCTGAGTGCTTCCTCTTCAGCTCCCTCGCGCGCCGTGTAGGGATGCCGGCGCCGGAAGATGACGTCATCTTCTGGCTCCGGTATCAGTGCGGTTCGCGAGGGAGCTGAAGAGGAAGCACTCAGAGCAGAGTGCTCCCTCGCGCGCCCGCCTGCCTGCCCCACCAGCCACCCGCCTTCCGGGTGTCACCAGGGCCAGCCTCGGGGGGCCCTGGGGTGGTCGGCTCCTGGGCCCCCCAGGGGAAGAGGCTGGCCCAGTGGGTACACACCGGGTCGCAGGGGCGGCCGGGCCCCCTGGTGGGCCGGGCCCGGTCGCAGCCGCGACCCCTGCGACCCTGGTATGTACGCCACTGCTTGCACCACACTCACAGACATTGCTTGACAAGTTACGGCATCTTATAGATTCCTGGAGTGGGGGAGACACTAGGGGAGCCCTTGGGACTTTGGGAGGTGCTCCCGGGGGGGTGTCTGTTCTGTTCAGGTGCAGCCGGGGGCAGTGAGAGCGAGGAGGTGGCGGGAGGCATTCTCGATGCGGCTCAACAGAATGCTTATGTGTCCTTTGCAGTGCCATTGGAGGTTCATCTGAAGCGGGAGATGAAGGAGAAACAGTGGAAGGGTAAATTTGTGGAGATTTTCTCGCTCCTCCCATTAGAGGAATACATTGACGTCAAGGACAACAATAAAAAAAAAAAAAGATGCCAAAAAAAGAGGAAGAGCAGAAGTAGAAGTGGTACCAAAAAATTCCAAAATCTTTCAGGATGTGGCTGAGGGCGTTTTGCATTCTTGCTAGGGTCCTGGGGGAAAAGATGACAGGTCTTTGTTCATCCCTTTTCTGTTATTTGGATGGGATCTGGGAGGCATACCTGACTATGGCAGGCTCACATGATGAAAATATGAAAAGCAAGTTCAGCAGCGCCTGGCGGCTAACCCGGGTATGAGGTGGGACCAGATGGATCTCCCCCAGAGGCTGCTCTAGACTTTATGAGGCCTTAGGCGAAACATAAGGCCCTACTAACATCCAAAGTGAAAAAATAATAGGGTAGCATTTTAAATGACAGGGTTAGAGGCATTAATGTGACAGGAAGTATGGCAGGGTTGGAGGGAGAGTGTGTCAGAGTGAGAGGTGAGTGTAACAAAATTAGGTGTGTTAATTTGACAAGGTGAGTGTGGCAGAGCAAGGGTAGGTGATTTTGAAG